CATAAAGTACATAAAGAAAGCCTTGAGGAAAACACATGTTTTAAGCTCATTTGCAGAGATTAGACATTCTTATCCTAAACCGCAGACATTAAAGACCAAAATGATGATAGTTTTCTATTTAAAAGCACAAATACAAGTTTTGTCTATATTCTAAGGAAATCGTTAAGACGCACTTAATATTTACCTAACTATCCACCGATCATTATTGTTGGAACAAATTATTATATTATTGCCACTGACAACAGTTAAAATTTGTAATTACTTATTTCTAATTAGGTTTGTCGCTATGTTAATTGTTTTTTTTTATTATTACCTATATCATGTGATTAGATTGAAATAACAAAGAAAATACATTTTTACTAGCACAATTATTATTGCAACAAAATTGCCTATCACGATGTAAACATTAGGGGGGAAACATCAGACTTATGGCACTAGCACTTATATGACATGGTGTTGTCATCGACAACGACGTTAAGAAATCGTTAAGACAACAACAACAGTAGCAATATGGTCATTCTGTTTGCCGGAGAAGTCCAATGAGAGACTAAACATTTCGACAAAATATAATTACAACACTGATGTGATAATACCCGTGTGTAGATTGACAAGGGAACCCTCGGCCTCGTACCGTTTGTTTTGTTTTTTTTTATCGACTAATAATCACTCTCTGATGTCATGACTCATTTCGTCACATCTGAAACCAGCCGTCCATACATAACGTGCCATGTAATCAGTAATATCGCTTTTACACTTTTAGTTGTGACGCGGACGACGTTGTTTTATATGTATCTAGCGACAGTTTTTAATGGTAAAATGGTTAACTTGGCCGAAAAATATCGACAAGGTGATTAAAAAAGAAAAATCGACAATTCCAACCACATATAATTTCTGTTAATAGAGAGAATACCTATACACGAATGGGTTGTCAAAAAACAAAAACTATGTACTTAAACAAATAAGATTACAAGGGAATATCTACGTAAAACGCAGTCAAGTGCATACAAAAGTTAGTTATTATTTCAATAACATTAATTGAAAGCAAATGTTAGCAATGGATTTGAATAATTGTTGTGATCTCTGTTTTTAAATTACATTTTTTATTAGCAGTTAATTCAAGAATTTAATGAAATACTCAATTATTACTCGTCTACCAACGTATTTTATGTCTTATAAACTCATAAATATATATATATACTATTAATATAAAAATTATGTTTTTTTTTAAACGACGGTAATATAAAATATTTTACTTGTATTGCAATTATTGTAGGAGCGCATAATAATTGTTTGTAAGAAAGACTATTATAATGCTATTATTTTCTTAATCATTTTAAACGCTCCTATCTGCCAGCGTTTCGATCGTGAAATCTTTATTGAAAATACAAAATGCACAAAAACGATAGCAATATAATGTAGTAGAGAAATATTTTATTATAGTTATTTTAGGGGGGGGGGGACTTGGAACTTGGACCATTCCGTGCGCGTTTTTTTTCACTGTCCCGAACAACAACGCGTAGACGCGATCTTGGACAAAAATAAAGTGTATACACATACTTTTATATGTAAATACAATTATGTAAAGAAATAAGAAGTTAAAAACTAAAGTTTTTACCGGGCGTACGGAGATGGAAATAAAAAGCAATTATTTGTCAGTCGCTACTCGCTATACGGACTCAACTTCGGAGACGGACATTTTTTGGTCTAACGTTTTTCTTATTTGCTGTATTTGAAATCCGTAGAGTTTATTTTAAAAGTTGGAATTTATACGAACAAAATATAATACAGAGGCAAAACTGTGAACGTGCAAAAACGTATTTATTTTTACTCGTCCGAGTGTGCTATATTATTGTAATAATATGCTTTAACGTGTGAAGGGAAAAAACTACAGGGCTATCCTAATCCTCGGATTCGCACATTAGCCGTGTCCGTATTCGGTAGCTCTATTGTTGCAATTTTGGGCACACACTCGACCGGGTTATCTTGTCACCCTTTTGACGAAACGACATGTTGTTATTATTATTATGATTTTTATGGCCAAACATGTTTAACACAACCCCACGCGCGTGGCAAACAAATACCGAGTTAGGATAATACTACTAAGTATTTACAAAATACAATTTTTAACTACATTAAGCGCTTCTACAGTTTAACGGGTTTTTTCAATAGTGCAAAATTCGCAATATGTTATTTATTTACACTACTTCAACGGATCGACTTCCACGAATAATTTTTTATTCTACTTGTATTTTAGTTGTATGTTTTTTTAAGTACATAATTCATTTTATGTCAACCTACTATTTTTATGTGTTACTACCGCAGAGGCGCACACTTTCTTATATTTTATGAAATAGAAAGTTTAATTATAACATACAGGCCTTGGATCATATCTGTTTATTTAACAAAATAATATAAAGTGAAATGAGGGGTTGTTTTAACAAATGTAATTTTGTTTTATATTGACTTTTTTTTTTTAAGTATTATTTTTATCTGCGAGATTACTCAACGGCACTCCACCTCCCATCATAAATTTTGAGCTCTAAGATGTCAAAAGTAATTATTCAAAACGGGTTATCGACTAGTCAACATTTTTAGCAAATTGTTCTACTTAAAAACGGTTACTTAAATACACATGGTCTCGTTTGAGTTTCAAAAGTTGATAACGCCCTAGAATATACTAAAGAAGGTAAATATTTGGTCATTTTATAGCAGTGTACTAATTATACAGATTAAAATGTTTTCTAGATTTTTATTATTTTCCAGCAATATGAGTGTCTTACGTTAAATGACGTTAGATTATGGTCCTATTGTAACTGTCATATTTTGCCTGACCGTTACTCCTCACTACCAAACTGCACATCAGCATAATATGCTAAACGATAGGTAGTTGGACATATATACTGTCTTTATTTTAACACGGTATTTTTTAACCCTTTAGACGAAACGGGTCAGAGAACGGGCGGTTATCGCAACAACCGGTATTGTGTATTGGGAATAAGCTGCTTGTCCAGGCTTTACCGCTTTCCCCCAAAAGAAATTGAAATCGAAGAGCGCTTGCACTGCAATAATTTTACTGGCAATATTACACTTGGCTATATTACTATAATAAACATTTATATGATATTTCGCTGTCCTGTTACGATGTGTTACGCGACCGACCATGGCGTTAAGGACCGGACAAGTCACAAGTGTGTTCAACAGATACATTAAACGCATTTAATATGTCCAAACACGTACGGAGTGTTAAACGAAATATTTTACCCGTAGGCAGTGTATGCATTTGACAGTGTGCGCTCACCTGAGATCCGCTAGGCGAGTGCAACGAACTTGCGACCAGAAACGGACTTGTAGGATTTTGTACGCCCCCCCAGGCGAGGCCAAGTCTAACTAGACCACGTCAATCCATTGGTCGTTGAGGAAAAATGTTGGGCCCGGTAGATCAAAATAGGTAATATCCGCAACAGGTGTAGCAAACCGCTTACAAAAAGTTTCCAAAACAGCCTGAGATTTGTGAGTTATACACAGCATAACAAATACTTGGGTCCGAGGGAAAATTTGGCGGTAAAACCATAAACCTACAAAATATCTGCAGAAATAACTGGAAAATTGAAACCAAAAATCGTTTGTAGCCGAAAGGTGCCACAGACAATATGAGCGAAAATCCAAACGTCCAACTTGATTTATTTTTTTTTAAAAGAAACTGTTTACGTTGAACGAAGAGATGTCCAAAATTCCTATTAAATCAGGTCTATAACATGTAGTACTATTTAATACCTAGAGACTTCATGCAATCTAAAAAATTCATAAAATATTGTTTTTTAGTTTTATTTATTTCATGCTACAGTAGTAATATATAATTATTTATACGGTTTTTATTAGCCCCCATAGCTCCGTTATCATGACTAGACAGTTCTGTAAAACTCATTATTGCATTATTGCAATTCGTTTAATTTATTAATTTGTTAACTGTTTGTATCAAAAATTTTTCACTGGTTGTATGAATTCTATTAACAATTAAAAATGTAATTGGCTCATAATTGTTGGGTAATACGTTAGTTATTTTTTTAAATATCTTTATATAAACAAAGTTTAATATAAAAAGATACTAATCAGTGTTTCAACTAGTATTTATGTAAAAGAAACATGCATTAATGCATGGACCTGAGGTCTAAAATGGTCGAACTCATTGCATTGAAACTTTTGGCAAATAAGCTTTGAAATTTATAATTTCCATAAAACTTTTTGTTAAAATGTTTTACAAACAATTCTTCATAATTCTGTGAATTTTTATGTTGGGAGTGTAATTTTTTCACAATATACATAAATGGTGTTTTAATTTACATGTTTAGTAGTTTCACTAATTTTTGCGTTGACCCAAGGTACGAATTTATAGCAAGGTATAATGAGTGGTATTAAATCTTAGTTGAACATAAATGCACGTGTTGTGAAAAAATCTATAGGTATTAATCATTATTATAATTTGTTATTAAAAACAAAAAAAAAAGATTTTCTCTTGAGTCTCTCCCTACAATGGATTTCGGTAGACAGTTTAAAAAAAATCAAAATAACAGCGGTTTTCGTTAAACAAACTAAATATTGCATCGTTACCGCGTTGAGCCGGTTATGATGTCGACTATAATACTCTAGTACCAGCTATGTATTATTATATTTATAATTTCCACGAGGTAAGCGGGAATTTGAGTCGATTAAACGGTTTACGGGTTATCTTTAAAGTCGGGCGTGATAAGAGCGAGCGAATTTTCCCAAAAACTTTAGTCTATGTTTAACCGACGTGTCCACGACAACACTCGGTAACCATTCAAATGTATTATTTGGCATTAAATAATAAAAATTATCATACAAAGTATGAGAAAATGGTGTGCCAAAAACAGTATTTGGTAATCGGTTACTGGTGGAATTAAGGCCTAGCAAAAATGTTTTTTCAATAATTATTATTATTCTATAGGTAATAAATATTATAATAATTTTCAAAAGCTTACCTTGTATGGATTGTTGCGGAATGGTTTCCAGAAAATACCGGAGTGATAATAATATATTAACAGTTATGTTGAAATAAATAATAATTATAAAAATAATTTAAACACGATTTATTATACATTTAAGGGGAGGAAACACAATCACGTACACGTAAAAAAATTATAATTAAAAAATGCGTCCACTCGATTAAAAATGTAATTTAATAATTTTTGTTTTATTTTAAATCGTTCGTTTTACAAAACTAAAAAAAAAAATCATACAAATAATAAACAATATAATATATTTTATAATATTAAATATCGCTTAAAACTAACAATTTAAAAAAAAAACTAAAAATTTCGCAAAAAAAATTCACACGCGCACAAAAAAAAAAAATTATAAAAATTAATTAAAAAAAAAAAACAATAAAAATCGACAATTTTCTTTTTTCTTCACGCGGGTATTATTGTACCTAACCGATTTATATTTTATCGTTTTTTTTTTATTCAGTTTGGGGGGGTTGGCTTAGCGAACGAGTAAAAATTCCGGAAAATTAATTTAAAAAAAAAAATCAACTAAGACGAAAAAAATTATGTCTCGTCAATAAAAAAAATTTTTTTTTATAAAAAAAATCTCGGGCGCCCCCAAATTTCCAAAAAAACATACATTATTTAATGTCAATAATTGCGGAATCACGTGTCGCCCGGTGCGCGGAATCGGACTGGCGTATCCGGTGGTGTTGGACGCGCACTACTGCACATAACCGAAGCAGGCAGTGGGTCGGCTGATCGCACGTGCAACGGGCACCGGGCGCGCGCGTGCGCCGTTTCCACGCCTGGTCGCCGCCACCGAAGCGGTCGCCGCGCCGCGCCGGTCACTCAGGTGCGCGCTTTCCCCGGGACGTTGCATCCTGTATAAAACGCTTTGAACGATAATAGTGAATAAATTCCTCTACACTAAGATGCGGCTTAATTTTGATCCGACTAAAACACCCTGCCTATCTTCAAACCCTTGAACATTATTAATTTTCAACATTTGTGAATACTTTATTCTTTCTTATGCAATTATATCGTAAAGTATCATTATTACTTCTTCTCGACCGGGGTGGAAGCAGAGGCCCGAATGCTCACTGAGACGCTTTTTTTTTTATAGTTCTATAATAAATAAAATAGCGGTTTTTTTTATATTTTGAGGGCCACCTTTAAAGTTGCCCACTGCGTCAGAACCTGTTCGATCCGCCTCCGTTTATCGTCGACCACAAGTTAACTAACACAATTGAGTTAATAGTAAAATAAAACAAATGAATAAGTTAAACTCACCATAAATAAACGCGTTGTTTCAGTCTTGATTGGAAACACTTGTTTGCACAAAACACGGCCGGTAAAGAGGGAAAGGGGGAAATCGGTTTTCATTATGTATACACCGGCCTGTCAGAAATCTTCTGCTGTCGGCACAGTTGTGTATAATATATATATATGTATGTTATGATAGTTGCTTAACGAGGTGACTGTATGATAATTAGAAATTTTACTGTAGTCATCATCTGAACGCACATAATTATACGAACATTTTTTTCTAATTTACCTTAATTTAGTGAAAGTTGTTTATTGGTTTATATTTTAAATCAACTATTTTATCCGAAATCCGGACGATAGCAAAACGATACGTTTAGTTAGCTTATAGTTTACAATTAGTGTATTAGAGAGGAAAATGTTAATAAGTTCCTCGACTGTTTTCTAAACTTTAGATAGTGAAGTTTATGTTTGCTAATATAAATCAAATTCACAACTCGAGGCCGTCATCACCAATTATATGAGCTATAAGTTATAATAATTATTTTAGAATAAAGTATACCAAGTGGTTCGCGAAGCGTGTTCACAAAAATAATATAGTAAAAAACATATTTAATAAAATCACTTCCCTAATATATCATGTATTCTCCAATTTAGTAGTTATATAATATTACTTTAAAATTTTCAAGATTCATACATACAATACTTCTTGTCCTTCAAAATAATACTCGTAAAAATTATTTTTATTTTCTGGTTTCAAATATTTGTTGAATGACAAAGCAAATATACACAACTTCTGTATTGCAATTATTAATATTATATTGCATAATTATTAATACTGAAGTTGCAAACTTATCTGTATAGGTAGTAAATTATAATGTTACGATACACACCTTGACCGACTAATTTATATTTTGTCTACAAATAACTGAATTTTTCCAGTCTTTGTCGTAGATTTTGGGTTTACCGTCTACCGGTATATCAGTAAGCTTTGCATTTAAAACCCGATACTTGCTCTCCGCGGATATCTATGAGCCGTTGTTAGTTTTTTTTGTCCTCTACAAAAATTGATCTAGTATCAACTACACAACATACTGATATGCCCCAATAGGGCCTACTCCCGGTCAAGATTCCATATGCTAAAAAAAACATACTGATAATGGTAGCACGGTGCTGCTATAGCGGACCATGGAACGTTCGTTAAAAAAACAGCGGTGAAAAAGAGTGTGCAAAACCTTTGCGGTCACCATATTGTGTTAGGTTATTGTAAATTGTAGTATATATGATAATAATATGTACTATGTATTATAGTGTATTGTATTAATAGGGGATGACGTATGGCGCCCGCTTTTAATACCTATCAAACGGTAACGGCGACAACTATGATACTGTAACATTGTATAACAATGAGTAATAACAATATTATTGATATGTGGAAAAAAACCGTGGCCGATTTCGTCGCAGGTATATATGCTATATGCCGTGTGTTATGAGGCCAGATAAACAGCTATATAAGGGCGTTATATCAGCTATAAGTGTATGTTAGCTATAACCTTTGACGGGGATATCGTAACGATATTTTCGGTAATAGTTTTATAGCATGTATTTTTCTCGTTACTATTCATGTAGTGTGGGTCTGCGATGCTCGGAATGGGAAACCGTATAATAACTTACAGGGATAAAAAAAAAAAACGAATTTTTTCGGAAACGCAGAAAAAGGACCAGACGGACAGAGCGAGTGAGTGAAAGAGAAAGACAGAGAAGGAAATTGCCGCCGCCGTTAGTACAAATCTCCGGCGTGAAGGTTTATAATAATAATAATAATATACCGGGTGGCGGCGGCCATTGGCTACCTGTGTGCGATCCTTGGATCACAAGACGGCAACCAGACACACGAAGAATGCAGTTTGTTGTAAATCACGAACACGCGCGAGCGGGGGCCTCCGACGAATCCTGTTGGCGCCACATCACCGTCGTCGAGGACTCCGCCGCAACCGCCTGTAGGTTGACATTTTTTCGGATATTGATAATCACATAAAAACCTAACCGGCACACCATAATAATAATAATATAAATATGTATAAATGAAAATAACATCACTATCCCGGTCGCGTAAACGGGCATTTCCAAAACGCGCTTCAGTCGCTATCAGCGATTTTGCTCGACGGTTATACCGCTGGCTAATCGTCAAATTAGTACCAACATTAGTAATTTAATATTACGTTGTAAGTCTATACCCAACCTAATGGGTCGGAATGAAAAAACCACGGCCCAATTAATAAAAAAGTTTTTTCGTGTCAAATTATAATAATATTTATTGGCCCAATTAATTGGATGTCGCATTGTTATAATAGTTATTGCTTATTATAAAAGATAATCGTAATCATCATCATCATCGTGTAGCTAACGGGCCTTAAGGACCCAACACTGAGATGGTTTGCTCCGTCGCTGGGAGGAGGAGGCAGCTATTTTTTACCAGACTGTTTTTCTAGCTCGTCAAACGGAGCACCCGTGATAAGATCTTTTTTAGCTTCGATACGATAGCATATAAGGTATTTTAATTTTTTATTTTACAGAGACCACTTTAAAAGTTTACAAGGGCTTATACCAATATAATGTGTTTTTATACAGTATTTATCTTTGATCCGTGTAAATATTTTTGATAAATTTAGACGCATTTAGGTTTGCCGAAAATAATTGCAATTTCGTAGTTTTTTTTTATGATATTTTACAATGTTAAAACCAAGGTTGGCATTTTTATGCGTTATAAAATAAAGATAAATATATATTCAAAATTTAAAAATATTTACTTTTACTAAAAAAAACACGGAACGATGATAACACAAAACGCACTTGTCTTCGGATTTCTTATTTTATTAAGACGTGACAAAATCTAAAAATACATTGACGAGAAAAACTATTTTAATTCCGGTCGTACGCCTGTTAAAAAACATAGTAGTGAAAATTTTGATGTTTTTAATTGTATTAATAACAATTTCCTAAACGCGGTTAAATGTACATTAACCTGGTTACTGTGGTTTTTGCTGTTGGCTAGGCGGCTCGCTATCTCCTGCGAAATTCTTATTATTATGGCCTTTTTGGACTCGAGGTAAACATTTGTTTTATTGTATAGTATACGATTTTTGGTACACGAAAAGTTTTATCAAAATCATTTGACTACCAAAAATTTAGCCTACTACTAATTTTGCTGCTTCTCTATTGATTTGAATGATATTTACAGGCTCTTCGCAGAAATCCGGAGTACATTCGTTTCCGGGACGGCTCCGTTCTCTATTTTCTGTTGTGAAATTTGTCTGAAATACATGGTCGTCCCATACGCACTTATAAGGGTAATATAATATCAATATCGTATTTTTATGACTGACATAATGTGTCACTAGGGAAAAGCCCTATATTTTTCATAATACACCCTTCTATCCAAAACGTGTAGGATTGTAGGAAGCATTTGCACTTAATCGAGCTCCCGTCTTACTATCAAGTATAATATAATACTCTACCGTTCAATACCTGCTCTTCCGGTACTCCAATTACGTACAATGAAGTGTTTCTACTTTTCGTTAGACCCCGCTAAACCTAAATATTGTCTTTTAAAAACGTTTCCACGTACACATTGTCTAACTGAATTTTAAACTGTTTTTGAAAAAAAAAAAACACGAGATGAAATGCCGCATTAAGTCGCGCGTGGACATACATTATGCTTGGTTGCGTTTTCATTACATGCATAATATAATATATATATATATAATATATATATATATATTCAAAAACATTATCTTTATGGTAAAATTGACGAAGGGGATTATTGATGCGTTGTCATCGTTATTATGCAAATGTGCGCGGGTGTGTCTTCTGGACGAAGCTAATTGTCGGGTTGTTCATCGTTTGCATACAATAATAATTACTACATTACATATAGTCCAATCAGGGGATAATAATGAGTAGTATTTGTTTTAAGAGGCACGGGCGTTTATTATAATATGTATGTCCAACATTCGCACTCGCTCAGAGTTGTCACTTTGTGGTGTGTGCAGTGAACTCACACAGCTTACAGTAAAATATTTTTAACAGTTGACCCTTATACACGTGCTATGGATGGAAAACTGTTGTTCTGTGTGTTGTGAAATCCGCCTCAAACGTCGTACCATTACACCCGAGTACACTCGAAAACCATTGCGGGTACGTTTGGCAAAAGCTTAATCATTTCTGACAAGGCGGGTTCTCCCCATACAGACAGCCCGGTCATCAATATGTAAATAATGCCGAATTTTTATTCCCAGACATGCACCGACGGCGCGGCGTGGGGCAACACTAACGTCAACAATACAAAATGGCAGCATCCCAAGTATTCCCAACCGATAAACAACGTATCAGAATGTCCATATACATCTTAGACGGTTTTGTCACTTGTACAATGTTAAAATATTACAAT